TGGGGAGGGGCGCGCACATGCGTGCAAACCCCCAAAATACAATGCGAGGGCCCCCTGCACATGCATGTGAGCGTTCCCTGCATGCACTCCATACATGTGTGGCAGAGACCCACCAGCTGGCTGGTGGGAGGCGCGTGTGCATGCACGGTGGAGTTGGGCTGGGGCGACAACTGGCGTTCCTGCAGAGAGGGCTCTGCATGCCACCTGTGGCACATTTGCCATAGGTTCACCGTCACGGCACTATAACAAAGGATGGCTACATAAAATCCTAGGCTCAACGTTTATGGGCCTTGTGGCTTAAATGTTCAAGTATTTTATTAGCAATCAATTTAGTTCTTTGAAAGAGCAATCCAACTTTAATTTAGCACTCCCTATTTGAGAAAGAAAGAGAAGATATCAAAAGAAGGCAACAGAAAGTTGGCAATTAGTAATTAATTAATAGTTTAATAGATTTGTATGCCGCCCAATCCCGTAGGACTCTGGGTGGCTTACAAGACAAGATAAAAAATTAAAAGTTAAAAACAGAAAGATACAATTNTCGCCCCCAACAACAATCCGGGTCCTCATTTTACCCACCTCGGAAGGATGGAAGGCTGAGTCAACCCTGAGCCGGTGAGATTTGAACAGCCGAAAGAAAGAAAGGAGAGAGAGAAAGGAAGAAAGAGAGGAAGAAAGAGAGAGAGAGAACAGAGAGAGAAAGGAAATAAGAGAGGAAGAAAGAGAGAGGAACGAAGGAAGGAAGAAAAAAGTAGAAAAGAAAAAAGGAAGAAAGAAAGCTTGCCAAAAAGAAATTGGCAAGAACCTTAGACTCCTGAACGGAGTCCAGCTATAAAACAATCTCCAAAATGAGTGGGATAGAAAATGAATGGGATTTTCAAAATCCAGAAGGTTTTGCTCTCCGATTGCTTCTATCAATCACTTCTGTTCCCATCTTGTAGAAACAGCAATTATTGAGACTGCTGAATTCGAAATATCCATGCTTCAAAATTGGAAAGAGGGTTCGGTTATTTGCTTTTTTTAAAAGGGGGATGAAGCCCCCCTTGCAGTTTCTTGCTGTTTACCCACATCTGCTCCTGCCTTCATAAAGCAATTGGTAGCCCAATGACACCAGTTTAGAAGTTGACCCATAATCCCAGAATGAGGAAAACGGGGGGCTGTTTGCTTCCCTTGGTCAGCTGGAGCTAGCTTGAAAGTCAGCTGGCTTCTTTTGTAGCCCAGCGGCTTCCATGGAAAATCATAAAATCATAGATGGAGATTGGAGACATTCCTTTAGGCCTTGGCATCTTACCTTCTACACATTGCAGAAACATACCATATTTTTGGGAGAATCAGACACACCTTTCCCCCCCTAAAAGAGTGTGGAAATGTTGGTGCGTCTTATACATCGAATGCAGCCATTTTTGGGCTCCTGAAGCCCCACTCCCCCATCCCATTTTTGCAAAAAAAACGGCCAAAAAATTGTGGGAGTTGAAGTCCAGACATCTTCAAGTTGACAAGGTTGAGAAACGCTGACTTAAGCTCTTCTCCGAACATTTCTTACTGGGATCTGTCCAGAACAGGACACAGTTCTGGAGATGGGGTTCTGGCTAAGGCCAGATCCTTCCTAACTGGAGCTGTTGTGGCCCGCCAATGGCCAGCTTAGCTGGCAGCAGAGTCGGACAGTGAGGAGGTTGGGGAGGATCATGGGCCAGTCCTGGAGCCTGGGGAAGGCTCAGATGAGGGCTCTGCGTCGGAGGCAGAGAAGGGGCCACAGCCATCTGGGAGTTATGTGCTGCCTCCAGAGCCTCCAGAGTCGGACAACAGTGAGGCAGAGAAACAGACTCCCCCTGTTCCCAGTGTGCCCACGCGCAGAACTGCCAGAAGGCAAGAACAGTTAAGACAGAAGGGACAACTCGGGAGTAAGGCTTGGAAGTGATTGGCCCCTCCCATAGGACATAAAGGAGTAGCAAAGGCATGTGAGCCTTTGCAGGAAGCAACTTGGTTCGTGCTGGTCAGTTTACCCTCTGAAGCTTTGTTTTGACTCTTTGCTCTGTGTGGCCTTGCCAAGCCAATTGCCAATTAAGTCTTTGGCAGTGTTTCAAGGAAGATAGAGGTGGGTGCTTATCAGACCTATCCTGAAGGACTTTGGCAGACTACTGTAGGACTCTTTACAACTATTTGGGACTAAGCGTGTGCTTTTTATTGTATCAGGAACACTAGGTCAGAACAGGCCATATGCCAGTGATCAGCTGCCTTCAGAGTCAGACATCAGTGAGGCAAACGAACAGCTGGCAACTCCGCATAGAGTTGCCAGATGAAGGGAACAGCTAAGAACAGGAGTTGACTTGGGAGTAAGGCCACAGGTGGACGATGAATGGCCCCTCCCAGAGGAAATAAAAGAGGAACGAAAGGGGAGTGGAGTTTGCAGGAGACCATGAGTTCGCTTAATTGTTTCGTGACTCTCCGAGACTCCTTGCTAAATTCTGCAGATATCTGCCTGGCAGCTCTCCAAGCCAGATAAGGTCTGTGACTGTAAATCCTCCCTCGAAAGACTTTGCTGGATGTGAATGAGCAGAATTCACAGCAAATTAATAAAAGGGTTTTTTGTCAGGACCAAGAGTTTGCTTCATGCTCTTGGAAAGCCTCGGTCAGAACAGGAGCAGTCTTCTCTTGCTCCCTTGAGAACCCAAGAAGGAATCCTTCTTCTGCCCATTGTGAGGATGTCTCCATTCGGATCTAAAGACCAGTTCCTCGAGGCTCCATAATGGATTCACCAGCTGCCTTAGGAAAATCCATTTAGCCTACTCAGAAGCGAAGGGCAGCCAAGTCAAAGAGGCTGCAGTCAGGCCGGCCTTTAGCATTTTCCCTTCAGGAAATCTGAGAAACCGATCATCGTTTTGCAAGGAAGTAGAAGCAAGGGACATGACTCACGGGGAAATGACAAATGAGAAGTTCAGGAGGGAACCACGCTCCGATGCCACGCTGAGCTCGACTGGGCACTGAGAAATGTTTTTGCTCAGGCCTCAAGCATCAAAGAGAGAGAGAGGGAGGGAGGGAGGGAGGAAGGAAGAGAGAGAACTGCCAAGGCTGAATAGCCAATGGGCAGTGAGGCTGTTTCAAGGAAGCATGGTCTATCTCCAAGAAGAACGGATTGCTCTTTTTTAGGAAGGAAGCCAGACTGAGATCGAAAAACATCTCTAAGAACCTAAGCCTACGGAATATCAGCTGTTGGAAGAAACGTCCTTCTGGGTTCAGCTCCAAGTGGGGGGAAAAAGATACTGGAAACATGGAGGCTGCTTGGAAAGATGGTTTAATGGTGGACAGGATCGCATGGCTGGAGCTCCTGAACAGAAAAGGGGGCTCAACTGCTTTCAGATGTTGGGTGAAGAAGAAAAAAAGAGACCGAGATGCTGAAGCTCCTTGCTTTTATGCCCTCTCTGGCCTTTGATCTTGAGATTGGAAGGAGGTTCAAAAACTTCTTTGGACAGCTCAGTTCTGTAGTTCAGGCTAAGGGTTGGGGGAGAGAGTAAGGGAACTACTTAGGATTTCCACAAGGCTAAGCCAAGAATCCTGGGGTTGTTTAGACCAGTGTTTCTCAACCTTGGCAACTTGAAGATGTCCGGACTTCAACTCCCAGAATTCCCCAGCCAGCATTCGCTGGCTGGGGAATTCTGGGAGTTGAAGTCCTGACATCTTCAAGTTGCCAAGGTTGAGAAACACTGGTTTAGACAATGGCCTGCTTTTACACAGCCTCCCCATCAATTGTCCCAGAACGTCTATGTACGGTGTTTTTATGAGCCTTTTCCTTTGTGATCTCTCCCCTCTTGATGCTCAAAGGAGCCTCTGGGATAGAGAGGCCACTCTTCAATCTCTGTGCTGCCCTCTGCAGGACACTTTGGGGAGGGCCTTTTGCTTTTTGGGGGTGGGGGGCAGGAGAGGAACACCTGAATTTGGGGGGAAATCTAGCAAACCGTTCGTAAAGAAATAGAAGAGGCGAGAGAAAGACAAAATCCGGGTGTGGGAAGGAAATGAACTCCGATCTTTACGGTTTGGCTTGAAAATGCCCGTCGGCTTTCAGCCTACATGAATGTCAGAGAGACACACTGGTGGTGCTACCTACTTCCCCAGTCAGCCACCTGGCTGGGGAAATTCTGGGAATTGAAGTCCACCCATCTGAACGTTCCCAAGGATGGACGCCCCTATAAGGGCTGCTTTCTGAAACAGCCGAATGGAATTGATTCCTGGGAAGAATGGCTAACTGTCCTTGCACACTTTCCCCGCCCATCCATGCACCCAACCCCTTCATGTCAAAACAAAGAGCCTTCCTTGAGCCAGGTGCTAATGGTCTCCATAAGGCCTAATAACCATGGCAAGACCATCGCAGCCGCTCCCTTGCCAACCTGTAAAACAGAGCGTACAAATCCGGGCGTACAATGATAAAAAAAGTCCTGTGCCTTGAATATGTTAAAGGGAGAAGGACAATGGGTTCCGGGCTGCCTCTCTAATCAAGAGACAAGAACAGGGGAGAAAGCGAAGTGGATCTGTCTGGAAAGTTGCCAAATGTCCTCTGTCTAAACACACACACACACAGAAACACCCACCCACACACACACACATACACACAGACAAAATTCAGGGAATTCATTCATGGATCCACGATGAAAAGTGAATTTTGCACGCCAATCTGGCAGAGAACAAATCTTCAGCAAGAACAAGACATCCTGGTTTCATTCAGCCAACATCTGCTCCCGTTTCAAGCAGGGGATCTGCAGGAGGTCCTTTTGACAAAGAGCTCAGAGAACGTTCCTCTCGCTCTGAATTCTCTGCAAAGCCACTTTGCTTTAGCTGAGGCTGTGTTGCCGCATGCGGGGAGGGGGGCTGTTCTACTCCCTTCCACCATCACCCCCAGAAATGGGGCCAGAGGGGTGGGTTCCCCTCCCCCTCCCAGAACAGGGAAACCTAGGGTTGAAACAGGAGACTAGCCCTGTCCTTTCTTTCAAGAATTTCTGAGTCCTTTGCAGGGCTCATGGCCCGGCCGATGGACGGAAAGCTCTCTCCATCTGCAGATCTGCTACTAAAACAGGTAAATCTGTGGAACAAGCTACTGTGCTTGCCCATGGTTCCCATCAGCCCTAGTCACTGACCCAACTGTCTGGAAATGGGGGGAATCGTGGCTCAAGCCACTTCGAATAAAGGTCTCCAAATGCACTTTAAGACTTGTGGGCTTCAACCAGGCTGGCTGGGGAATTCTGGGATATGAAGTCCATTAGCCTTAAAAGGGCCAAGTTTGGGAACTCCTGGCTTAGAAGGATCCTCCCTGGGCAAAGCAGAGATGCAACAGGACGCTTGCTGTGGTCATGAGTCTTCTTCTTGGTAGAGGACACATCCCAACATGTGGTAAATAAGTGGCTCAAAACGAAGGGCTTTTAATGAGACTCAGCAGAGCCCCTCTAATTTGCTTATAGCCACCACAAATTCATGGAATGTCCACTCACCCACTTCAGAAGAACATCTCCAGATGTTCTTGGTTTCTGCACTTCAGCTGCCTACGTGGAGGAGGCGTCCAACTATGCAGCTTGTCCACAGAGTATGTAAGCCATGGGACATTTGGAGGGGGTGATTTGTGGAGGCTCGGTGTACACTTAGCCTGTATTGATTTTGTTCATTGCTCCCTCCAGATCTTCATCCTCTGCAGAGCTCAAGCAAAAGCATCCCGAGAGAGCTATTGTGTTCTTCCTGGATAAAAATGGAGAGAACTAGAATTGTTCCACAAAACTGCAACTTTGGGCTATCTCAAAATGCTGGCATGTCCATCGGGCCAGCTGATTTTGGCAGCACAGGGGCAAACTCCCCAGAGGTGAAATCCAGCAGGGTTCTAACAGGCTCTGGAGAACCGGTAGCAGAAATTTTGAGTAGTTCAGAGAACTGTCAAGGACCTTGGAATACTCATCTCAAACGATCTAAGCGCCAGAGCTCACTGTAACAGCATTGCCAAAAAGGCATTAAGAGTTGTCAACCTAATCTTGCGAAACTTCTTCTCCGGTAACATTTGTACTGTAAACTAGGGCATACAAAACCTTTGCCAGACCAATCCTCGAATACAGCTCATCTGTCTGGAACCCGCACTGCATATCGGACATTAATACGATTGAGCGAGTCCAGAGGTATTTTACGAGAAGAGTCCTCCACTGCTCTGCTCACAGTAGAATCCCTTATGCCACCAGGCTTGAAATTTTGGGCTTGGACAATCTGGAACTATGCCACCTATGGTCTGACTTAAATGTAGTACACAAAAGTATCTGCTACAACATCCTACTTGTCAATGACCACTT